TAAGCAGGCGGACACTTTGCTGCGAACAAAGAGGGTGATGGGGCGGCTGGATCCGAATCCGGATCGGGCCAGCCGTGTGAGATGCAGCCTTCCCCCGTTAGGGCTCAGCGCGTTTTTCTTTTTGGAGAGGTTTTTGCTATAGGGCGCGTGCGCTCGCCAGACAGACAGAGAGTGACACAGAGAGACAGAAAGTGAGAAATCACTCCCCAGGGGAATGGCCACGCCGCAGTCCCTTCTCCTCCATTCTCCTCTCGGGATCTTTGGCACGCACACATGCCCGATGTGAGTTCAAGCCAAGTGCTTTTCATCATGGAAGTGCTTAAGGTCCGCAAAACAGAGGATGGAGCACACCCGAGCGGCTGCCCGCGCCCCCCGTCGGCCCACACTCACTTCTGGACGACGAGCCTCTTATGTTCGTCACAGCCCACGGAAATGAGCGCAGACTGCAGAGAGACAGACGCACACCCAGGTCAGCCGGGTGACCGCAGCCCGGCACATAAAAACCTACCCAAGTGCAGCCCGCAGGCGCTGTGGTGGTTAAGGCGCTGGACTCCCACACAGCCGACTACAGTTCGAGTCCCAAATCTGGCAGCTTGAAACTCAAACTGGGTGCAAGTGTACCCAAGATCCTGAGAAGAGGATAGAGAAGGGATTGTGGCATGGCCGTCCCCCAAGGGTGATTTCTCCCAGTCCTCTGTCTCTCTCTGGCAAGCACAATCACCCTATGGCAAAAAAAAAAAAAAAAAAGTAACTTGTGTTGGGACCAACAGTTAGCGTAATGGCTATGTCGCTGAAATCCCATGTAGCTGACCGCAGTTCGAGTCCCAGACCCGGTGGCTTAAACTCAGGCCAGGTGTGTGCCTTCATGCCCAAGATCCCTGAGAGGAGAATGGAGAAGGGATTGCGGAGTGGCCATCCCCCCGGGGGTGATTTCTCGCTGTCTCTCTCCATCTTTCTGGTGAGGGCAGGCGCCCTGCAGCAAAAACCTCTCCAAAACAAAACAAAGAAAAAAGTAACAGGTGTCAGGCCAGCAGATGGCGCTGCGGTCAGGGCAGCTGGATCCCACAGGGCTGAGTGCGCAGTCCATGTCCCAGACAGGATGACTTGAAAACCGCACCAGGCGCGTGAACAACGGAGAAGGGACTGCAGCATGGCCAACCCCCGGGAGGATGATTTCTCACTTTTCCTCTCACTGTCTCTGGTCAAACAGAAAAATACAAATAACTAGTAAAGTTGAATAAATAAATAAGTAATAAAAAAAAATGGTTTTTTTTTTAAACAACAACAACAAAAAGCACACCTTACACAAGGACCCAGTCACATGTGAAGGGTTTGAGCACCTAGGCCTGACTCCCAGCAGGGCAGCCCCGAGGCGTGGGTGACTCGACACCCACAGCTGACCCCTCCCCCAGAGCTGTGGCCCCGCGAAGAGCTAAGAGCCCCGTGTCCTGCAACAACCCAGCTCTCTGTCTCCTCCTGCTGGTGGACGTGTGCGCTTCCTAAAGACGCGGAGAGACAGGGAGAAGCACCCCGTGGAGCGCAGGCAGGACATAGTCCCTTCTGGGATCTGAACACAGACCCTGTGCGTTTTTCTTTCTCTGGAGAGGTTTTTGCTATAGGGCGTGTGCACTCGCCAGACAGAGAGACAGAGAGCGAGAAATCGCCCCCCAGGGGGGATGACGACGCAGCAATCCCTTCTCCTCCATTCTCCTCTCAGGATCTTGGGCACGCACGCACATGCGCCCAGCATGAGTTTAAGCCACCGGGTCCAGGACTCGAACCGTGGTTGACTACGTGGGAGTCCAGCGATGTAGCCTTATGCCAACTGCTGGCCCCAGCCCCCCCAGTGTGTTTTTCAAGCTGTTAGATCCAGGACTGAAACCCGTGGCGGGCCCTGTGGGATCTGCTAGGCCAGGGGCCAGCCCATGGGATTTCATTTAAATGGCGTATTGTGTTACGTGGCCTCCTGTGTCCGGTGTCTCTCATGGGTTTGAGGTATGTCCACATGGTATCCCATGTAGGGGTCATTTCCCGCCCCCCCCCTCAGGTCAACCAAACTCAAAACCACTGAGGTTTCCCCTTTGTACTTTCAAAGATTTGTCTGTGTCCTGGCCTGGAACGTAGCTAAACCCTTGGACTCATGTCTGAAGGAGACAACAAAGCAGTTTTAAATAGCCTGCCCTGAGAAGATAGGTATATTTCCATCTAGCAAAAGATGTGTTCACCTACCTTTAGCTTCTTTAAGACACTGCTATAGCCTGACTCACTCACTCTGCTTGGGTGAAGTTCAGGTCTTCTCATGACCTTCATTGTTCCTTCAATACTGACAGACTTTCACCTTGCCTTGAAGCCCAGAGATTTGCAGCAGAACAATGAATTGGAATCCATGGAATTCTGTATGAGAGACAATTGGCTCAGCAGCTTTACAGAGTTGGCTTGCTCCAAAATCTGTATTTGCTCCTTAAGTTGCATTCTCCTCATCTTTTTTTTTTTTGAGAGGTTTTTTGTTATAGTGTACATGCGCTCACCAGAAAGAGAGAGACAGAGAGACAGAAAGCGAGAAATCAACCCCCAGGGGGGATGGCCATGCTGCAATCCCTTCTCCTCCATCCTCCTCTCGGGATCTTGGGCACACATGCATACATGCCCCGTGTGAGTTTAAGCCACCGGTTCCAGGACTCAAACCACGGTTGACTCTGTGAAGTGCAGTGATGTAAGTATTATGCCATCTGCTGGTGCTGGTCCCTCCCATGTTATTTTTGACTTTGCTATCGGGCACATGTGCTCACGTGAGGACAGAGCGAGTGAGAAAGCAAGCAAGCCACCAGCCCCGGGACTCGAACTGTCGTCAGCCAGGTGAGAGTTCAGTGTCCCTCACCACCACACCACCTGCTAGCCTCATGGC